TGTGTGTGTGTGTGTCTGGGAAGGTGTGTTTTAAGATGGCCTTGTTGTGCTGGCGTAGTGATATTCTTTATTGTTTAGCTGTTCCAGTTGAAAAAGTTGATGTTGCAAAAAGTCAGCCATGGAAGCTGTGTGTTTTATGCGATAACGAAGCTGATGGGCCAAACATTAGTACATTAAAGTGTGTGTTTTTACTGCCTTTGATGTGATATTGAATAATGCAGATTTCAGAGTAAAATAAACCAATGTGTTTACTGCACAACTACAGCTAAGCTTTGTAGACTGATATGTGCTCAGAGGCAGGGATTTCCCTCTTTGATTTCCTGAATGGCTTCAGGTCTGCTAGACGGGCTTCAAGAGGAAGAAGCTTATAGGTTCAACTAATCTTTACCAGTGCTGCTGTTTCCTAATTATTTTGGCAGCGGATATTTGAATTCCCTTCATTATAATGACTAGGGTTACATCATGTCAGGAAACACCTCTCATTAAACCAGAGGAGCTTTTGTAACCTGCCTCTTGACAATATAAATAAGATCCATGGATTTACCCATGGAGCTTATTTTACTGTAACTTAGATTAGGAGTTAAGCAGCATTTGCATCACTTGGAGTAGTAATAGGCTGAGTTGGAGCCAAACACAATAAGAGGTCCGGGCCCAGTGAGCCAGTCTTACTCATTAATTAGAAAATCCATCAGCCAGTTTTAAACCTCAAATCCAACTTGGAAGATGGAATGGAAAAGTTGTCAGTGTTGGGGAAATGAAATTGAAATTTACATCTGTATGATTTACATTCCGCCCTGCTGAATCCTGTTTGTGTCTTTAAGCTTTACTCATTAAGATAAGGTGAAGAAGAGTTGGATGAAGCTTTCAAAACAACTTTATACTAGAAATAGTAGTTTAGAAGTATAATGTTCAAGGATGCTAGCTGCTTGAACGCATGAACATCTGGCTCCATAAATCCACTGCTGCTATCATCCTCGGGCTGGGTACTCAACTTCGATACTACGGAGTATCAAAAAATGGTTCGATACCTAGTAAATCTTATCAGTGTCAGTGCGCCAATAAGCACGCAGCAGGCTGTCTAGTAGTGCATGTCGTAGAGGCATGCAGGGAAATACGATGCCCAGAGACAGGGCTCGCTGTTTTTAGTTGTTTTTTTATGACGAGCTAGCCCCGGCACATCCTTTCCTCGCCACTGCAGGGATGGATAACCTGGAGCTGATGTTACAGACCGACGGTAAACTGAGAAAAATACACCTGAAGTTGTCAGATTTTGACAAGCTGCTCTTTAGGACAGAGAAAATAAGATGTCTCACTCTGCCACTAGGCAAGTCCTAGCAGCAGTGCACACATTTCTTCATTTCTTCATTATTAAAATTTTTTTATTTTAAATTATTGTAAAAAGTGTTGTTCCGCAACTGGTACTGAAAATTTTAGTACCAGTATCAAAAATGTTTAAACAATCCATCCCTACTTCTAACGGACCAACCAAGTCTCCAAGAGTTTTGTGGGCCCAGCTCTGTGGGATGTTTGTTTTTGTCTTGGCCAGCATGAGAAGGATTCGTCATTGGTTAGGGAAACTGATTTGGAAGACCAAATCACCCACTATGATGACAGTGGTTTGGACCGAATTGGATGTCATCACTGTGTGAGTAGAAAGGAAGGCTTACAGTATGACTGTTGGATGCTGATTTACATATTATTTAGAGATTTACCTCTGAGCTAGTTCTATTCAGAATTGGACTATTCATTGTATGCACTCAGAGCATGACTTCCCCTGTGCAAAGATTTGTTCCAAACCTTGGTTTCTTTATCTTGCCCAGTGGTACTGTGGAAAATCAGGCCATAGACTGTGAATTAATTGGATAAAACCATAATTTGAATAATTTAGATACTTAACAAAGTCTAAAATGATTTGGGCCATTATGCATCTAAAAAGCAGAGGGCTTTCTTTTCATGAGAGGTCTTGTCCTGTTACTATATACAGTACAGTATTTCTTGTGAATCCTGACATGCAGTCAACAGAATAATTACAAATCTCAGAGTACAATAGAAATGGCTCTTTGTTATGCATCTTTGTGCATTTATTCTCCTTTGCTCTGTCTGGGACCAGACAGTGGGAGACCTGAGATGGCCTTAAAATCCCTGAACACCCAGTCTGGCTGACGTAGCACCTGTCACTAGGATGGATCTTGGACACATTCCAAGAATTCCGAATTTTTGTGGGGTTTTTTGTGTGTTTGTTTTGTTATTGTTTTATATAACACTGTGCATACATGATGTGTAGGTTGGTAGCGTGTAAGGCTTGAACTTAATATGACCAAACCCTTAAATATAAACCTTGGTATTACCTATTGTTCTCAGACTGTACCTGTGGTTGAGTACAGCGCCTGCTTGACCGACACCTCACCAAGTCTCCTGTGCTGGTTTTGTTGCACCTGTTAGGGCAGAACAACTTACTCATTTATGATTATGATTTTGGTGATTTCAGCAAACTGTCAGCATAGCTCCACCCACAGTTATCTTGTGAAGAGGTCTTGGAGGTTGACTGGATTTTTAAATATTTATCAAGTGTGCATCTTGCAGGAGGCTATGTGTTTCCCAGTGGAGTAAGGGGCATGTCAAAGTCTAAATCTGGCCCATAATACTTTTAGATTCAGACCATAGTATTTCAGATTTTGGTGTCTTTTTTTTAAATTTAAACATTTGTGTATATATATACTGTATAATTCAAATGTAGCTGTTAGCTTTCAACAAGACTGCAGTCTACAAACTGACACAAAGAACAAAAACAATCATGAAATGCTTGGTTTCATAATAAAGTTTATTCTATATTACAAATAGTATTTTGTTCTTGACTGCAAAATAGGAATGCATTATATTTACATACACAGGTATACAATTAATTATAACAAAGTTAGAGAAGCTCGCCTTATATCCCCCAGGTTTCGTTTTTATCTCTCGATAAGATACTCTTTATCTTTCAAATATGGTCTAGTAAAAGTCTTTTCTAGCATGTTTCTGTAACACCTGCTATAACACTGAGCTAGGAGGACATTTTTAGTTCCTACAAAACGTTTGAAGGTGGAAACTTTATCTGTGCTCTTGGCAACACAGGGTGGCTACTAGCAGACAACCTTTGTTGCAGGGGAAGGGACAGGGCAGGGAGAAATGAAAGACAGGATGTTACATCGGGGGGCAGATTCACAATGACAGTCCAGGACTCTGACCTTGTGTTATTTATTAACACAGGGCTGTGAGGGGAAACTTTGGGTATCTAGACAGAGTATGCATTGGCTACATGAATGATAGAGGTTCTTTGAAATTGTCTTAAGGTGTTTCAGTTCTACATTTCTTACAATATTAATGCCAGCCTTGCTTGAATGAATCATCCAGTTGCTAAATCAATCCTTATTCCCCTCATTTTCCAATAATGTATTATTATAATATTGATATGTTTACTACATAACTTGTCCAGCAAACACCTTGTGAATGTACCCCTCCAAGTTGAAACAACAGACATTCATCATACCGTATACCTGCGGACAGTAATGAATGGACAATGACTTGGAAATCTCACATACATTTGACACAAGGGCTAAAACAGAAACAGTCACTTGCCTAACTCAGTCTTAAACATAAGTCTACTATCAAGCCTCATGTGCCTGTCTTATTAGAAAGTTGTGTTTATCTGTATGATAAATCACATGTATACGTTGTTTCTTCCAACTGAAAGGGAACACAAGTAAACTGCAGACTTTTGTTGCTTTTCATAAAATTGTTTGTTTTCATGAGTTGTTCCCATCTTTAGTGATTTGAAAACAGGGCTTCATCACTCAGAATGTTTCTTTTCTGTTCTGGGCTCGACTGATGGAGAAAGAAACAAAATAAATAAATAAGCAGTTATCATTTTGAAATAATCAATCTTATGCAGTAAACAACTCTCAAAAGAAAATGTAATAGCAGCAAAGACAGAGCAAGACTCAACTTGCATCTTCTGTGTACCAAAACTAAAACCAGAGACACAGCTGTCACAAAACACAGATGGCCTGCAATGGAGGGACAACGGAACAAAAAATTCAAAACAGGGTTCATGTTGTCTTTGTGTGAGATCCATACTCTTAAAATGAACAATTGGCTTGTTAATGACTTTAAAGTCCCCAGTAGTAGTAGAAGTATATAAATATCTTTGAGCAAGGCAGTTCCATTTCATACCATCCAAATAGGTCAACATGCAAGGGTATATAATATCTGTTTTATTTAGCATCTAACACTTCACAAAAACAATGGGTATGAGGTTCTGCAGTAGGGGTTGAACTGGATAAAGGTTCCACCTTAAACGAAAGTTATAGTTTTTATTACATGAACAATCCACTTTTTCCATCTCAATTCTTCCAAGCAAAAGAAAGATAAAAGAACACATCCACATCATCATTGCAAGGCTTAATTTTCTTATTTTTCACTTTTTTTTAAATAAGTTTCTTAAATTGTTTACGTTTTACATGCGCTTAAAAAGCCAATAAAGGACCCAAGGTGGACCTAGGGCGGTCTTCACACATTCACATCACCACATGGGGCACGTTGTCAAGGCAAAAGAAAGGGCAGAGGTCAAAAGGTACGGAGGGCGCCTCCATCATCTCTCTTTCAATCGCTCTCTCCAACAAGTCTTATATACTTTTAATGTCTATCATTTTCTATTTATCCTGCCGTGATGTTCACTTCTTGTTCTGTTCCTGCTCTGCTTTATCAGATTTTTTCTTTTTTTTTGTATCTTTTTTTGAGGCTTGGAGAAGGCTGCCCCCTGCCGCCACTGAGGACAACTACACTAATACAGACAAGAGCGCCTCAACAGTTACACACTCAAGAGTTGGGGTTTTGCCGTATGCAACTAGCTACCATCTCCAACGCTTGTGCAAAACAGAAAAGAAAACTGGTAAGTCAGGAGCCGGACACAAGGGTGAACGGTGTGCCGAGAGCTGGAGAGACCTGGGACGATGGAAAGAGAAAGGAGGATCAGATCACCTCGCCCACAGAGCCTCTCACCTCGACACACTGAGGTCAGAAAAATCACACAGGTTTCTTAAAGTTCCAGTCACAATATTTTTTGTCCCAGAAGTGGTTGTCTTTTACATAGTCCTTTTGTCAGTTCCTCAGTGGCACTTTACAAATACATTTTTGACCGTTTTGAAAATTTCAAGCTCCTTTGGTTTTTTGGCTGACCGACTAAGTCCATCTTGTTTGATTTCTCCACACAAAAGTCTTTAAATAAGAACATCCTGGGAAAGAAGTGCTACCCTCACAACAGAGCTCCTGTAGGGAGCAGTCAGCCATCTCTGGCTGTATTAAATCATTCTTCTTATTTTTAATGATCAAGCAGTTTCTTACCCATTATATTTCAGTCAGCTCTTCCCTTTACCCCCTCCAGGGTTGGCGTAGATTTCTGGGCAGTCAGGATCTTGGGCAGCTGCTGATTGTGTGTGTATCTGTGCATGTGTGTGCTTTGATAGACCGTCGCAGTGGCGGCACAAGGTTGGAAGTGGCATGAGCCAGACAAAGACTGCTACTGGTGTTTGGATTAGCAGTCAAAACACTGTCTTCCAGAGTTGGTTGTGTGCTTCTTACAGAGGATCCAACTTGGGTCGGGGCCTCCGGGTTGTCTAATAGGTTAATTTTGCAGTAGCCACATAAGCCAGATGGAAGCAGAAATCATGAGCATTTTCTTTTGAGTAAATGTATGCTGGGCAGGGGGAAATGTGCGAATGTTGCAAAGGGGTATAGATTAGGGATGCTCTGGTTTGTAAAGTTTAGTGTCAGTCACATTTCAATAAAGGAGAAGTTCAGAGAAGCACTAATCCTTCCCTACCCCCATCAGTCTTTTTCTTAAATACAACTCCAGCTACATTGAAAGAACACAAGAACATTCTAGGTTTGCCTGGACTCGCCCCAAATTTCGCAGATATGTATGCTTCGTTTGTAGGTACAGTGTAAACTTGGCAAACCATCCTTGCATTAATTTTCTTCAAAGGTGTTCATTTGGCTTGCAGTCATCAGGTTTGATGTTTCCTCTTGATTCCGTATATTGAATATAGAACTACAATAAACTGGACTCTAGAGATGGTTTTATTTTCTATCCTATTTTTGAAAAAAGTTCTCAACAAAATGGACACCCAACATTGGGGTTTTTAAAGAATTACCTATCAGTGTAAATTCTTGAAGGCAACATAAAAATGTTTTTTTTCCCCTCTTTTCTTCCAGCAGGGGGACTGAAGTATGCCAATATGGCCAGCTTTCAAGCAATCACCCCTTGAAGCTCTCCCTGTGGTGAAGCTGAGGGATCCCCCGCATTGCACTGTGGGAGACGCCAACCTCAACCCCGAACCACCCTTCAGATATATTCAGGTAAACTAGTCTATGCAGCAGAGTGGATGAGGAAAACAAAATATTTCTTGGGGAAGAGGAAGCAGAAGAAAGGTCAAGGAAGAAGTCATCTTTGAAAGGCGGAGGGAGGAAGTCACATGATGAAAAAGATGGGGACAGGTCTTCGCTCAGGCACGGCTCGGTTTCTGATGGGGTCTCTTCCCAGTGCGCCCTGGGAAGTGCGGTCCTCAGCTCTCCAGACTCATGAAGGCCACCACCTGCTCCAGCTTGAAAGCCAGCCTCTGTTTCCTGGCTGCATCGTCCTGCTCCAGTGCGCACACAATCTGCCAGCAGGACAGTGAGGTAAACACAGACACATTACTAAAAGCACTCAACATAACAATACTGCCATCAGTACTTTGAAATATTACTGTAGAAACTCTAAAAACTGTTCAGAGGAATACTCCTCTGAACATCATATACTCTTATAGCTTCCTCCTGTGTGGACAGTTTCAGTTTAGCTTGGATGCACAGCCATTACAGTGGATTCCAATGGCAAACCCAAGAATGAGTATTAAGTATCAACATGTCTTTAAAGTCTTCTCTAACCATTCCAGCAGAATGAGCTAAATCACCTAAACCACAACAGGAAACAGAGTGTCAAAGTTATTGGCGTGGCAACACTTTCTTTGGAAAATGCATACATGTTGATGCCTTTTGTTTCTATATGGATGGGCATTGGAATCCATTGTAACTGCTATGAATACAAGCTGAGTACAGCTGCCATTCTTCACAGAGAAGCAAGCTACAAACTTTTGAGAGACACCTTTGAAGTGTACAGGGAGTGTAATTTTCATCAGAGATGAGAGAAATTCAAAATTGTCCTGTTACTGTTGGTCACCATAATTTAAATGAGAAAAGAGAGCTGATGAAGATTATACAATCATTTAGATAACGTTCAGTCATAAGCTTTACCAGCAGCAGGTAGTGCTGTTTCTGATTCCTTTTTGCCCTGGGCTTTGCCTCTCAGGCTGCATACAGGCTAACCATCTGATTGGTGGAGTGTGTTAGGCAGTACACAGCCTGAGCCTTGAGACACTACTCAGGACAGAAACCCCTGTACATATTTTCAGGTGAAATTTTATTTTATTTATTTCAGGATTTATTTTAAGTAGGGTCAGCTCATTAATATATAAAGCAGAATAGCACATTTCATTAGTTTGTGCTCTTTGCTAGATTGATAAAACTGTAGATTATTATAGAAAATCAATGTCCAGTGGAGTATTCCTTTAACTCCTTACCAAAAAAATCAATAACATTGGTGGGTCTAAATTGTTTTAAAATACACCTGTGTCATCATTATGTAAGTGTAAGTCTGAGTATTACATACCTCCTCAGTATATTTTCCCACATAGGAGTAAATCTCACTGAGAGAGCTCATGCTGTTGAACTCGTTCATGTGCATCCGTGACTGTTCTGCCAAGTAGGCGTTCATGTCCTGGTCACTGATCGCTGGCATCTTATTAATGTCTGAGTAGTACCTATTAATAGGAATAAAACAAAGCATAAACACTTGTTAGGACTATGTTTACTGTTGAGAACATTGTTAGAAATGTATGTGTGTTTAAATGTGGATAGTGTAATGTAGCACAGTAACATGTCTGAAATGGAGTCATAGTAGACACTGACAGGCCTTAGATTTCAACCTTGAACACCATAACAGAACACATCCACTGCATTGAGGTAAGGGTAATCAGTCACTGTCAGCAGCAGCTGTGTTGCCCCTATCAACTATGTTAATTAAAGCTGGTTATTTACATATTAAATTCCAGTAGCTGCAGCCGCTCGAGGACAAGCCCAGCGTTTGGCTGGATAATTCTGGGCATTTGTGAGGAAGAGATGCATTTGCCAGGAAGCAAGTCTTCAGAGCAAACTGAGCAAAGTAAAAAGGCAGGTGGGTGTTGCACCTTTGCACAGAGGTCACACACACACATCAACACCTGTTCAGTGCTGGAGGGCAGTTGTAGGTAGCTCCTAGCAAGGGTTTGTTCGTGTAGAGGCCAGGTGTGCTTGTTTTAGGAAAAGGGTTTTTAGAAACATAACTAATTTAATTAAAAAATGAACTGCTATCTTTGAGCTTTTTTTCCCCAAGCATATCTGCTAAAAGCTTGCAGTCACATATTTCAGCTGTCCGTCTCTTAGCTGAGAGGACGGATATGCTTTGATTTTGCATGTACAGCACGACTGAGCTGTCTACACCTGACGGTGATAGACAGCTAGACTGCATTTCACTTGGGCAACCTAAACTAACTTTTCAAGTCTTTGTTCTTGTGTCTTGTACATGTCTATGTAAAAACTGCGTTTGTACTGTTTTAAGATGTAGTACATACATATTTTCCTACAATTCATGGAGTTCCACTTAAATTTGCTTTTAGGAGGTATAATGTTATAGTAATAATATTTCATACATAATACGTTCATATTTTTTAACTGACTTACATTTACAAAAGCTGCTGCCAAATAATGAAATCTTAGATCTTTATAGCATAGTGATAATAAGAGCTGCACCATGAGCTGTCTTGATGTTAGCTTTGCAAATGTACTGATCCATATGCAAACACCCTTGTAAACAAATAATGTTATGACAGCTGTGATGGATTTGTCATTGTCTGGGGGCCATCGACTCCCACATCAAATTCGAGGCAAGTGTCAATATCTTACTAGTCTGCTTCACTTCACAGCCCCAAATGAATAACATCAACATACTGTAGCAAGTAAAAAGCTCTGTGGGATATCATGACTCTGCCCAACTACACTGCCTCCAAACCCCAGATAGAAAAAAACTTTCTAAAACTGCTGAAAATGCATACTTGTCCAATTGTTGAGTTGTGTAATTTATTAGCATTTCAATTGGTTTTCTTTGTAGGTAGAGTGAAGCATAGTAAAAACACAATGTCTGCATGTGTTCTGTTTGTACAGAAAAGCACTGAACAAGCAGGACAGATTTCCTTCTTGAGATACACATTTCCATTAGCCTGCTCACCAGGTAAGGATGTTCTACTCTTACAATTAAGCTGCAGCATGAAGGAGAGACAACTCCTCTTTACCTCTACAGTGTTCACTTTCTTTCCTCTCCCTTTGCAGTCTTCTTTCATAGCTGCTGCATTCTGTCTTTTAAATCCTTTCCTTGGCATGACCCTTACTTTGTCACCGTTGGACAGCAGAGTGAAGCAGCACTAGATCCACCCTTACTCAGTCATTACTATGTTACTGAGACTTTTCCAACTGAATAACATAGTTCCATTGTGGGGAGTTCATTGATGACAGTATTGCTTCCCCAAACCTGCAACTTAGGAATGATTTAGATACACTACAGATCTTTTTACAGATATTCAGACAAACCGTATTTTCTGAAAATCATGGATCATGGATGCATGGATCTTTAAGAACAGTGTGTACACACAAACCTCTGATATAACCCTGTGCGTGAGCTACTAAACATACATACTTAATACAGGCTAAAATGTCCGCTTGTGCTGCCCCCTACAGCAGCCATCTCTGACTACACAGACCATTTTTCTGCTTACAGTATCCAACCATATCCATGTATGAATCAGCAGAGGACCCTCACACATATTTGTGTTTACGGCAGACCACAGACACAAACATACACAGGACTAATGAATACGGGCCTGAGCCTGAAGCTCCACATTTGGACCATTCAAGCAGCGCACATATATTCTCATCCTGAGGCTTGCCTCGTGACAAAGCTACCGACACATAAATACTCTGACCGCTTCACACTATCCCATCTTTTATTCAAGACCTCTGCGCCTCCCCTGCTGACAAATAAATTTAATAAAACTCTCATTTTAACAAATTACCGGCTTCTGCTGCTTCCTCTCCCTCTCTCTTTTTCCCCCACACAGACTCCTCTGTACTGTAGATCTCGAGCCCTGGGCGCTCCCATCCATTCCCACTGTGTTGTAATTTGGATTGTGTTTCATGGCCCATAGATCACAGTGCTACCATTACATTCTGTGTGTGTTGGAATGAAACATGGCTAATGCAGCTTTTCTGATGTTCTGATGTTTTCACTCACATGGGAGTCCAACACACACACACACACACTGTTTGGCTTGTGCATTTCATGGACAGCTCACCTCTCCACCCAGCTCTTGTAGCTGGGAATGTCCTTGGCATAAAGCAGCTTGTTGGAGGGTGAGTCCTTCCCAAGGCGGTGTTCTGAGGTGGAGCAGGAGTCCATGAAGGTCTGGGCCACCACAGACAGACAGGCATCTGTGATGCTGCTCTTATGTATGTCAAACACAAACTGGGGGTTCTTGATCACATTCACCCAGAAACGCAGAGGTAGGCTGGAGGGAGAAAAAAAGAGAGCAAACTAGTTCAGAACTTTTACTTTTTCCATTACTGTCAAATGTTTGATGGTGCACTGCAATCTCCATTCAGATGGGCTTTCCTGAAATTTTAAAGTTCAATATTTCATATTCCTACAACAAGAAATGCTAATACTAATTGTGGGTGCTTTAACTTGTTTTACCATTACTGAATTTGTACTGCAACCTGTAAACAAAATGTCATCTGTTAAAAATATTCAAGAGAGACAAAATGACTGATACCATTTTATGCACATTAATGTATTCTGCTGTGTTACTGCAAATTACTGCATTGCATTGATTGTTCAGTTCCATCTCAGTGACAGAATGCTCAAATAGGCATGCAAACAGAGGAACAAAGAGTGTAAAGTAAAACAACAGTCTGTGTCCAGTTCAACTGCTCTGAGATTAAGTCCCTAAATGTCATTTATATTTGCTACAGCCAGTCAGGCAATAGACATGAGCATATTATGCGCCAGAAGGGGGACGAGGATTCATTCACTTTGTAAAGCTAGTACACAGGCCCTGCTGTTGCCGATGTGCTCTATTTGATGTGTGTGCTCAATTCAATAAAGCCTTTATCTTTAAAACCAGGTGGTGGCTGGCTCTCATTTTTTCCAGCAGTGTCCAGAGGTCCTCGCTGGGGGCCGCACAGTGACACAGTTCATATTGCCTTGTTTGTGCAAGTGGGTCCTATTTTGTGCCTGTCCAGAATAATAAAAATATACAAGTCTGTTTATTTGCTGGGCTTGTTTCTGCCAAAATGAATAGATACAGGGCCAGCTTTATCTGTGTGTTGCAGTGAAAGGGCTCAGGTGGTATTAAGAAAGAGCTGAGTGTTACTTGGATCTCTATATCTTTACTATTCTCTGGGCTATGCGCTTTTAGCTGATGCAGCAAAAATCAAACAGGAAAGACACTGCAGTCCAGCCTCTGTGTGGCATAGTATCAAAGGATGAGGGGAAAAAAACCCAGAAAACTGAAATGCAATCATTTAAATACCACCGGTGCTCCCCACCATCCCACTAAGCATTTATCCTAGCACAACCACCCACAAAGCCATTCAGATGTACAATCTAACAAAAGAGGATTTGGGCTCAGAGGAAGAAAAAACTGCATTATGACTTGAAAATTAATCTAGGCAAAGAATCTAGTGGGATTAGGTGCAGGGATCAAAGGGATATTAACGCCACTGCTGTGCCCCCTTGATTGTGGACAATCTGCCCCAGCTGCCCTGTGCTTTGAGGTATGTGCTGCTCCAGTGGGGCAGTGGAAACAAAAATGAGGTTCCCCACAGGATTTTATACATTCAAACTGATCATCATTATAACATATATATATCCTCTATTGTGTTGAAAATAGGCAAAGCACAGAATTTCTCCAGCAGTTGACTCACGCTGAGTAGTTTTAGGAATCTGAAGGATGGCCATGATCGGCCTTTTTAGTCAGGGATTAGGTTAAATATCAGCTGCCAAGATCAAGGGCATCTCTTATCCTCGAGGAATTACGCTGGCCGAGTCAGAAAAAGCCCTTTTATTGAAAGACTATTGCTCTGTCCATTGATTTAGGACTACAAAGTGCTGTAAATTCCAATGGATTTAAGAAAAGTTTGATAACATAAGCAACAGTTCGTACAGAAGATTTATTTAGTAAATATTGGTTGGTCTCTTTCATGGATTAGAGTACATTGTCCATTTAAAATAAGCTGGTAATCTTTACCAATTTAGCAAGCTTACCAACCAGTATTGACAAAACATCATATTTGTCAAGCAGCAAACAACACTGTTAGCTCTATTTAATGTTTACTGGGTCTAGTTCTGAATGTTTCAACAGGCACTATGCTGTAAATGAAGACAACAAAAGAAACACACAAGTACATCCACACCAAGTAAGTCCCTGTAGTCCTTCAGTAGCGCGTCTGTCTCCTGCAGTTTGTACAGATTGACACTTTGAGCCTCTGAATCTGCAGTTGTGGGATGTTGTCCCGTTTCTGCAGTTGGGCCTAATGAAGTTGCTTGCTATTGGCAGGAAAAGGGTCACAGATGTTGTGATCTAGGGCATCCCATTCGAGGCATTGCAGCACAGACAGGGAACTGACCAAGCCTGACCTTTTTCATGCAGCGACGCAAGGTTTGAATTAACAGCTTTATAAAGGTGACCTCACTGGGCATTGTTCCAACTGGACCTCGGTAGGCAAAAAGACACAACCTCTCATGTGAATGGCAAGTTGCAATCCACTACTGAACAAGCCGTGTGCCAGGACAAAAGGACTAAATACTATTTGAAAACTTTCTCAAAATTACACACTGTACAACTTTACAGATTGCAGATAATTAGCCTAACCCTAAGAGCCTTGTTGATGCCATTTACAGTCTGAGTGGGCTGGGATTGCAGTATGACAGCAGATAGGTGGTTATCTGCATGCAGAAAAGAGGAATGTGTCTGCCAGTTTTGCATAATAATTAAAATTCTGTCTTTTGCATCCTGACATGACAAACACACCGTGCAGACGGAGACACACACACACACACCAAACACAGAGGAGTGAGGATGAGAGGAGACGCTGACACACTGCCGCTAATCCAAAAGATACCATCTGGAGATGCTCTAGGAGCCAGTGACTCATGCATGCACACACTTACTGTACACGAATACAAATACACATTACAACTCACGGCACACAATGCAGAAACAACCAACATTTTGACTGAATTTTTAACTTCCACAATTCAAATTCACAGACAGAACAGTTTCTTTAAAAAAAAAAACTCAATATGCAACAAAGGTAGCATGTATGACATGGGGGCACAGGCAGCAGTAGAGTTAGTGCTGTTGCTATCACTAGACTGTTGTGAAGGATGACCTTGGATCGTAAAGGGTCACAGATAATTTCCTGGACTAGAATAAATCCTGGATGCCATCTTTAGGTCTCTTTCAGGTCTTTAAATGTGGGGATGTTGTGCCGAATCAATCAAAATCTAAAATGTAGGCAAGGAAGAATCATGCCAAAACAACTATTAATACATATGCACGCTATCAGATATTACAGATAGAACAAACTGTTCTTAATTTGAGTATGAGTTATCCAAATCAAACCTACTCTTCATAAAACTTTGATATTTTAAAAAACAAATTATTTGTTAGTAGGTCTAAAAGCTACACATCGACACTGATATAAGAATCAACTTCTAACAACATAGGCCCTGAAGCACTACAAGCTGATGGGAAATCTAACATAAGGGCTATATCAGAGGATGTACAGTGGAGCTCTAATGGCGGGGAAACCCTGAAGGCGAGGTGGGGGTAGCAGTGGGGTGCAGGGGGCTCTGGCTGCTGTGATGGCTTGAAGTTAATGGCATGTATGATGACGATGGGCTTGGGAGGTTTAATGGGACAGGGGCCCAGCATGGGAGGGGCACTGGCATTATTATTCTCTACCACCAGACAAAATGAAGACTTTTGTGGCAGCCAAGATTGCACTCTTTTGAGACGATTAAAGGTTACGGGTAAGCACACAGTGAGAAGTGAAAAGACACAGGCATATGCACATCTCACACAGAGAAGGTATCTGTGGTGGCATCGGCACAAACTGTTGTGTGCAATCTAAGTGGCTTTTTGTGATGGTGTGTTATGATAAATTGCTATTCATTCACAGCCCTCCAGTGAGAGCCTATTCCATTAAAAGTCTACTGTAAGAGCGACCCGTTGTGCTCTCAGAAAACACTTAACACACTGCAAATGGCCCAATAACACAGACGCAGGAAAGGACCACAATTAGGACCATAGCGTAAAGTAAATAATATTTCTCCCCCTTCTTTAGCTTCTCCTTTCCAATTTCACCCTCCATCTCTCTATTTGTCCCTTGATGCACATCCATTTTATCCTCCCCATCTCCATGGTTCCCCTGGCCCTTGGGTTGAGTGATGCATGCTGGGATCTTGGCAGAGGCCAGGAGGCTAATGAGATATTAGTGTGCGTTTAACTCCCACAGAGTTCACTTCCCTTTCTTCACCTTTTCATTTCTCTCCTCACCGCGTTCTGGTGCACTGTTGGGTTATTTAACCCCTACCAACCTCTTAAGGTGGGCTCACAGAGGTCAGTATGGTCTAAATTAATCAGCAGATATTAATTGAGAGGTGCACTTCCTCCACCTGGGAGTGTACATTTGTCACTATGGAGATTTCCACAGTGACAGGCGTTTTTGGCCCAGTTATCCATGATAATAGATGGAGAGTCTTGGCAGCCAATTGGATTAGCCCCTTGTGGTTGGCTTTAATGAAGATTACACGCCCCTGTGGTTAATGGATATTAGGAAGGGAAGAGGCGTGTGGTGAAGCTTGGCACTGACACAGGGCAAAACCAGGGCAATGCCATGTGAAATGTGCCAAAATGTACTGATTATGGCTGCAGTGCATTAAACAACAGTGCAGAAAGAAGAGGCCAAGAACAGAGCCAAAGGCACCACTGTGCTGTACATATAATGAAATAAATTTTGTGTCCCTCCAAGATTCAAGTAACTGCCTCACCAGTTTCCTAAGGGTTCATGGCCAGAGCCAACTATGCCTTTGTGTGTGTGCACATTTCTGTCTTTGCAGGCCTGTGCAGATTTAGATGCTCAAACTTACCAGTTGCTCTTCCATGTGTGTCGGACATGCGGGTCATGGATGTTGTGTTTGTCGGCCTGCTCGTCCAGGAAGTCAAACATGTATTTGATGGCCAGTGGCAGGGCACTGCCTCGATGGGCCGTGCTGAAAATGGTCTCAAACAGGTCATCCACAAACTTCTGTAACGTACCCTACAGAGGGAGAGGAGAGATGGAAAAAAAGATTACATGAAACCCTAAACCAGGTATTGTTTCAATATACCAACCACTCAAAGTGCATTGAAGTTTTCAAATGTGTTTTAAACTTGTAGAAATGCATCCCTCTTTCTAGTTTAGTTCCCACTGCTACACAGGAAGTAAGAAAGGAAACAATCACAAAACCTGTACCTTGGAAAATCTTCCTCCACAGAACCAGTGAATGAGATTGTCACTGTCATATACATTTTGCAACATGTGGACAGAAAGATTGGAAAATACTTGTGTATATTTTACTTGTGTGAGTTTATAAGTTGTGCAGAGCATGTCACTTCGTCCCCTAGCTGAGATGTTTATGTGTCTGACTCCTATCTCACAGACTCTGCCCCTAAATCTGCTTGCAGCTTTGATGGGGGAAATTGTTATTTCACAGCTGACTTTTAATAATATCTGGGAACAGGAGGCGCATCTCCTAAGCCTCTTTGTGCTGCCGGATTAGCTCCTACACTGCACCATTGACCCTAATTTGATTTAATGTTGGCGACTTTAAGGAGGAGGAGGAGAAGAGAGAGGAGAGACACAGAGTGAGAGAATCTAATCCTCTTGTAAAGAATGAGCTGATGGGATGCACGGGAAAAGGCAAGAGCGAGGGATGGAAATGAAACGACAGAGGTTTCCTATCAGGAGAAGAGGCCATTGAGTGTGGCAGATGAGGTGTGTACAGGCACTGGCAAATAAAAATCCAATTTGGGTTGGAGCGGGTGACCGAATCACAGAGTCAAGAGAGGTAGAAGAGAGTGGGAGGAGAGAATCCTGTTAGTCCGACAATCACGGCTATAATTCTAATGTGGCCCACATTCCCGACAGCTTATCGTTTTTGTATGAAGATGGAATCTCATATCTCTATATCAAACCCACATGCCTTCCAAGTGACAGTCTGCATTAGCTGGCAAGGGGAGACCTAACAGCTTATGTGTTGCACACATGTATGTGTGTGTAGATGAAAAAGACCTGCATGTATGCTGAGGATGTGACATTTTACATCATCCTCTATCTCAAGGGGGACTTATGCACCAACACTGTAATCGTCACAGGGTTCTCTTGTTTCCTGGTGGAGCTGAAACTGCCAACACACCCCCCCCCCACAACCATCTACCCTGTCATTAGACCACACTCTAAACACAATGTGTCATCTGGATGTTTTGATGCCATCTGCTTCCACATTGAAATGAGAGGCACGCTAACAATCAGAACGGTGGGGATAGTGCCGAAACAGAAATAGAGACACGAAGAAGTAGACGTGGTGAAGTAGAGATGGACACACACATACTCTTGAGTGTACAAGTGAGGATAGAAAATGCAATCCTTCCCTGTGCCCCCTCCACTCTCCACACGCATGAACACGCCCTGTACCCACTCTCAGTCAGAGTGACACTGATGGAGCTAATATGAGAGATGTCAGCCGCGTTGCCAGGGAGAGGTATTTATTGGCAAGGTGAAAGCCAAACGCAGTCAATTACACTGCCTGTCTGCCCAATCATTTCTCACCAAGAGAGATGGCCAGCAAAGATAAACTGGTTATTTCACAAAAACAATCCATCTGGAAAGATGATGTGCTGTCTGCAGTCAGAAGCCACCTTCCTGCCCTCTGGAATGGGATAATGGCAGGGAAATAGAGCAGCCCGCAGAGGCCGATAGGTGACATGTGCGCATGTCTGTAAGTGTGTGGAGGGCTATACAGTATGTGTCATGGTGACGGATGCTCAGTCCTCTCTCCGTACCTCCTGTTCTGCAGTCTCCAGTGTGTTTGTTTATTAGTTTCTCTCATATGTGGCTCATCATGTCCTGTTTCACAGATACTGTCATACCTATCTTGCCCTGTTGTTACTGCCTCAGTTATCTGCTTTAATTGATCACCTGATTTTGCTCATCTGCCCACACATCTGCACAGTCATTAATTCTCCCTCGTATAAACAGAGGAAAGTGATGTCTGTGTTTGACTACATTTTCACCAGTGTTAAGTAACATTGCTGATAATGTATTTTTCTAAAAGGAAGACCAAGTTAACTTTTAAAAAAAGAAATAATTCTTAGAACTAAAAAGTTGAAGTCATAGGAAATAAAAAGCACTTTTCTTACTTTCAATACATTCAGGAGGTTGTCCAGTTCAGCCTTACTGGTCTGGTATGACCACTATCTTTTGGTGGCTAAGGCTAGCTAATGTTGGCTATAGATAAATATTGCTACGTAACTGACATTAGTGTTGCTTGTGAACCTATGTGGCCTATGTGTTTCATGTGGTCTGCTAATCATTGCAAAACATTCAAAAATGGATGAGTTTATTCTCCTACTTCTTCTTTCGTCTGTGAGGCGCTCGTCTTAGACTCCTGCTACTGTATTTACATCACATACACAGAACTGAGCCGATGTTCTCTTTGTGTACTGCTAAACAAAGTGATAAAAAAAAAAAAAAAAAAAAAAAATGTTCCTGAATCACAAAAATTACAGCCTGAACATTTGTCAGATCGTAGCCTTTCTTTTACCTTCACTGTACGCCTCTGTCTGCGTCTGATAGAGTGGATGTCTTGATGAAAAAAAGAGGGAGGAGGTGCATTCGCAGTGGATTGGAAATTTGCATTCAGCTGTTGGATCAAAGTCACATTTCCCTTCAAACCAAATTAACGTTTTTTTTTT